GTAGGGTTTTGTTCGGGGACCCTGACCCTAGCTTCTGACTCAAAAGTCTGACCCACGAGACAGTGGGAGAATGTAGGGTTTTCTTTGGGGACCTTGCCCGGAGCCGATGACTCAATAGTCTGACCTGCTCGGCTGCAGGGGGTTGGCCTAACCTGAGGGCGCAGGGAATAAGGCATTACTGTCTCATTCCTGATGCGGCTGCGCACAGTAGGTGCCTTTTGAACAGCACCGGGCTCTTTGGCTTTAAAAGTATTTCGACCGTATTGGATAATGCGCCGGCGGTCACGGTCAACCGTTGGGCGATCGGAGTGTGCGGTTTTTGGGGCCGACCTTTTCTAACCCGTCCTTCCTCGGGGGAAGGCAGCATCGCTGCTTCCATAAATATGGACATGCTGGTCGCCTGGGGGAAACACCTTACTGCCTTCACACTCCTGTCGCAGAGGACAGTACGACTTTACCCCCAGGCCGCCTCGTACCACGATTGCTCGTAGTGTGGGTTCTCGCTGCTCTTGGTCTGGCTGTTCCCCTTTGGCCTTTCTGGCATGGTTGTCCCTTGTGGAAGTTCTAGCCAGTGTAGCCCGCGGGATCATTTCAGCACTCAAGCCCGACCACCACGTCAACGTGGCAGTTTTAGGTCGGGAAAACTAAGGGTTTCCAACTTTGCTCTTCTGGTCTTCAGTAACGTTACTTGAAAAGCTCACAGATGAACCAAAAAGTTAGGCTCTTCGACCAAGTACGACAAACCGTTTTGCGACAAATAGGATTATCGTACGCATGAAGGCCTCGAGACACACCTGCTATGAGAGACTTTATTCGTGGAACCTCTAGAAGGGGAGAATGCTTGCGAGTTTTTACTGAGGGGACTGTTTCAGCCGAAAGTTAAAGACCGGCTGTACTATTATTGGTATAGTATCATGAAGCCAACAGCACCGAAAATAATAGGTTCATGTTTGTCTTGTGTTTACTATTAGCGGGATCCCCAAAAGCGATCTGACACTCTTAGCTGAAGAGTCATTCTTTAGGGGATTGCCGACAAATATGACATAAAGTCGCTCCTGAGAAACTGCGAAGCTACTGACGAATGGTATCGTAAGTGAGCACGAAGTTAGCTGATCGGAATCTTGATAAATTCTGCTGCGCCCTTCTAAGACAAATAGGCTGACTAAATCGTGCTCAGTAGCTCGACACGCCAAAGAGATTGAAATAGAATAAGCCTGTATGTTTGGTTCTTGTAGAATGGACGCAGGGTGTGTAGAGCACATGTGGTTGAGCTGTTTACATCTGTACAAGCTAGATGAACCGTCCTCGAACCGAGGTACTATTGGGAAAGATATTTTCGGCCCCGTGCAATTCTTTCTTCGAAGACCAGACATCTAGCATTAACTCCTGACTGACGGAAGCTCCCTTCTAGATGTTCCGCGAAAAAAGTCTTTTCTAGCAGTGTTTCTCAAGGCCTTCATGAGTACGATAATTCCGTTTGTCGCAAAACGGTTTTTCTTACTTGGTCGAAGAAACTACCTTTTGGGTTCATCTGTAAGCTTTTCAGGTTTTAAATTGTTTTCCAGTGCTTTTCAACCAGAAAAGGGAACTCAAACTTGTTTAGTTGTTGGTCCGTTCGCCGAGCTTGCAATCCAACTGCCAACCTCGGCGAACAGACCAACAACAAACAACGGCACCCGAGCTACCTACATTCCACAAACATGCTAACTCAAACTTGTTTCACTGTTCTGATTCATGTGTAGATGAGACATTCAGCATTGAGAACCTATCTGATCAGGCCAAATGATTTGGCCCAACCATCGTAAGTGGTCTTGTTGGGTTTGTGGCCCTGCAGCTAAAATTCAATCTTCTGCAAGGATGTGAGTAGAGGCTACAAATAAACATGAAAACAGTCATCCCCAAAAATATTTCATCACGTGAAAAGTTGTTTGTATCCTCCATGGTAATACCTTCGGGGAGGTACACACCGAGCTGTGGTCAACGAGGTAAGTTGTTGTAGGCTTTCAAGAAAGTTGGCTCCTTGAGCGTTGTTACTTATATTATTGATAAAACCACCAGTGTGGCGGTGTATACTACTGATGAGTAATGTGAATAGTCTGTGGCCGTGTCGAAGCTTCGCCCCGCGTCTAATGGAAGATGAAGTGTATTATGGGACTTGTGGAACTGCTTTGCAGTGTTAGTTTACGATTGTGCAGTAGTCAATGAGTATCCATGAGAGTTCAAGAAAAGGTGTGAGGATGTTCAGTTTTTAAGAACTGTATGCACATGATATGTTTGATTTCCTGTCCAATGGCCTGTAACGGCTTGGTTAATGTTCGCTAGTGGACAACTTCGCAGTAAAAGGCTTTCCTCCTTTCGCCAGTTTTGCACTGTGTGAGTTCGCTATGTGAGTTCATTTCCCAAATCCAACACGAAAATAATATGCCTCATTGGTGTATTTGGTTAGTGTGAACGGACGATTTAATAATGTTTCCCAGCTGTATGCTGCATGCAGAAACCATCTTGAATTTCAGACTCAATATCATTTAAAATATTAAAATTTAGCGTCTCTGATGAGGAAGAAATAGCAACCCCTTCAGTGAAGTTGTTTTATGCCTGCCTAGGGCAGTTCACTGTTCATTAATTGGGGTGACAGGGTAACCGGTTGCTTTATTTGAGTGCTGTGGATAAGTACAACTGTTAAAGTCTCCTTAAAAAGTGCCTAATTTCCTTCAACTCTTGCAGTTCCTGTGCTACTCAGCCTGTCACAACATGTGATATTATCAATCAAGGAAACTCTGATGATCAAACTGTCTCAAGCTGTCGCCTGACCGCCTTTTGTTAAGGTCATGTGATGTCACTTGCAAAAGTTTGAACACACAAACTCGTGCCCAGTCCCGTCGCACTTTCATATGACACAGCTTACATTTGGCATTCAAGTTTTTCATTGCCCTAGAATGCATAAAGGGAGAGTTGGGTCGTGTCCTATTGAACAATGCCCGATCGGTGGCGTTCATCTGATCAGGATAGCTCACCACAGTCACCGAACATCTTCAAACTTCTGCCAAAAGATCTCTTCCAGAGCCCTGTAAGCCCAAGAGGGAAAAGGATATTAGATGACTGGTCAGATTTCCCACAATCCAGTGCACCATTGGAATCTACTAGTTCAGTGATGGAGGTCAACAACAACCATGGACTGCACCTTACAACACGAGCTGGGGTACCCTTGGTTATACAAGATCCGTATACTGCTGAACAGTTACTTCTTTTACCTATAAAAGGGTCACTGATTGCAAGTCTTCGACAATGGTCCAGGCTTCCAGAGGACGTAAATGTCTTGTCTAGACTGATTCTTTTTCGTAACATGATGTCCAGTGCCTACGAAGAGTTCATCAGTGTATTTGGATGCCTTCCTGGCCTACAACTTTCGGGCAAACCGTACTACCTGGATTATGTTTTGGCTTCGGTGGAAAATACGGATGAGCGAGAACAACTAACTCGGATTCTTCGTGAAGCTCAAGACATTGTGGCTATGAACCTCGATGTTGATTTGAGGGACCAGGGGATTTCTGAAATTTTCACGGATAGCTATCCTAAAGTAGAGGAACAAGCTCACAGCACATACATCGAGGTTGCGAGCCACGCACTTAAGCCTGCGCTGTACTACCTCAGGCCACCAGAGGATGATGGGAGAGTTAAGAGGCCACGCATGTCAAAACCAACGAACGTGAGTCGAACATTTTCACGTGTTTACTACTCTACTTAGGAGTTTATGGGTGTTGTTCACAGTTCAGCGTAGTAAATGATGAATCTGTCTTAACACATCTATCTATCTATCTATCTATCTATATGGTCAGTTAATATACTTGCAATTAGGAAATTAGACATCTATGCACACCTACGCACCAATATACATACTAATTATATCAACAATAGAAGGTAGTCTGTATTCGAAGTGTCTTCACAGACGTACTTAGTTCATTCACTATACTTCGTTATCGGATGCTCGAGGCACCCAGTTTAGGCTACACATCTCGTTCTTTGTTGAGAGGGACTTTGCCCGAGGGGAAAAACCCCAGTTCTACGGAGCATGTACTAATGCAAGTGGCACTGAAATCATCCAATCCGAAACATTGTGTGAAATTAATTATGGAACCCAACGATGTAATTCTGTCAGTACCACAATCGCGTGGGTTGCTAATGCTTTATCAAAGCAATAGAGACTGGGCACAAACAAGCGCCAAACTGCAGAGAACAGCCGCAGTTTTCAAGCTTGGCTTCAGTCAAACAAAGCAACATTCTTGCTATGACTGATAGGGAAGAAAAAATTAGGAAACTTGAAAGTTTGGTCCCCCAGTTGGCTGAAGAGTTTGAAAGTCATTACTGCGGGATGGGTACTTTTGGTAAGTGGAAGATTACTAAAAGAACCACACATGCCGGTATGGATGCAATACCTTTTCAGAGGGATAGTTGGATTGTGCAGAGATCTACTTTATCTCCCCTATCAACCACAGTATTGTGGGTTGGCAACACTCTAGTGTGGGATTCTTCACTCGACTGTGTGCTTGTATATGTGTCTGTGCAGTTCCCTACGAGAGCTTTTTTGAAGTCGAATTGTGATTCTCAGAAATGCACCTTCTTGCAACTGTACACAATCATCTTTCAAAGATCAGTAGGCCATAACTTTCCGAGACCGTATTGATGTCCACCTGCGGTATCAGAACACCATAATCGTTTGAAGAATCCATGGTATACGGAAAGGATGACGTCGCAGCAAATTAGATTCATACTCACTGTATCTATTCGGCGCCCGACCACAAAATTATCTGTGTAAATAGGAAATGAATAAAACTTCGCTTAAAACAAAATTATGAAAATACTTCAACTGACATTCTTAGAATTCAGATATCCCCAGACTTGGAAACGAATGTATTACTGCAAATTTTTTATATCTCCAGGTTAATTATGGAAGGGCATTATTCGTAAATATACCGAAAAAATATGAGCAAGATAGACTAATACTTTTCTTATTCAGTCAGTTAATCAAGAACTCAGCTAGAAATTATGTACCGTGGTACGGTGGTTCCAGCTGCTAAGGGCTCGTTCACCAAGGATACAGAGATTAAGGGAAAGGCGGTTCTGCTTCCCACAAAAAAGAGCAACGCCCGATCAAAAGTGAGGATAGACATCCTGAAAGTAGAACCAAGTTAACCTCTCTGGGCAACCGACCAAAACTGGCGTTCTAAAACACTCCGTTCTTTCTTGTCTTACATGTCCACCACCTACCTGATCCAGATTTTTTCTGTCAATGTAAGTGGACTGATGACCAGTGAGTAGTTGTTACCATCGCCGTTTGGAAGCATGCATGAGACTATGAACCAACTTACTAGGAACATTCCCTTTTTCCTAGGGTTTCAAAATACCAACACAGCGTTTTAAATGAACGATACCATTAAACTCAGCGTTTCCGTATACCAGGAGGCCATCGTATATCAAGCTCACTACGAAGAACACCATAAGTAATAAGAATATGGTGAACAAACCAAATTTGAACACGGGCGTCTGATGACGGAGTGGCAGATTTTCGCAACCCAGCAAACTCCCTAAGTTGAAAATATATGGTCTGCGAATACCGTCTCACCAATTCCTTGCGTTGAGTTATTCGTTTACGAAAGCTGGTGTTTATCCGAATCATTGGAAAAGATCGAGAATAACCGACCTTCAACACCAATTGGGCTAGCAATTTAGCTACTGAAATAGCACAAGTAGTTCACTGTCGATTCTACATTTCGATGACGATAGCAACTCAAAGGAATGTGGTCGAAAACGGGATGATTCCTCGAGATGCACTCACTTGCACACCAATTTGGTCTTCATGGAATGCTCAACTAAATCTCTCGGTGAAGGCATCTGTGGCAGCTACAACCACTGTACGATAAGTGGGTTCTTACAGCTGACAATGATGATGATGTCATGAATCCGTCATTTGTGATGTTCTTCAACTGAACGTGCCGAACAGAGGCCGCGAACTTCAAGTGGAACATAAGTTTGGTGGGAATTAGATGCTGCGCCTACTTGCTAAACCTCATGCAGTGTGAACCCGGTCGTGGGCTGTCGAACAACTTCCATCAACCTTGCGAGAAATTTTATTGAAGGGAGACGTCCTAGTTGCGATGAAGTCCTTAGGAGGGACTTCAATGCGTTTCGCCGATTAGTCATAAAAATAACAGACTACTTAATTGATTCCGCAACCATTTGTCTGTAACATGATGACATTTATAGCATGGTGCCTCACAACCGGAATGGCTGCGCTGGCCAAACAACATAATTGCTCGCATAATGTTGCTGAAAATTCGTCGACAGCCCACGACCGGTTTCGCCCTTCTTGGGGCTCATCAGGTAGGCGCAGTCCTCGAGTTTTCGTCAATCTTATGTCCTACTTCGACCAAAATTGGACAGGTTTTGACAAATACACTCATTTGCAAACAAATCTGTTTGCACCTATTTGTGAACCTATCGATTGTTCCCTGTAGCGTTCTATTTATCGCAAGAATATGTGAAGCATTCAATATCTAAGTTCTCCAGTTGAACCACAATAGTTCACAAGCACGGGCTGGTAAAGGTTATTCGACAAAGAAAGAAGACTGTGGATTCCGAATCAAATAGTGCGAGAGGAGGAATTCCTGAACAGAATCATGTTACAGAACGGTTATGCAAAGCGTTTCATTGAAAGTTACCGTAGAATCGGCACACAAACTATCCCGGTTCAGTCAGCCGGTCAGAAAGGTATATACCTGCTTCTTCAGTTCACGGGCAATCACTTTAACACAGACGTGTGAAGCATGCTCAGTTTGGCACTAAAGCGTGTTTATACAGCGGCGGAGCTCCGCCTCGTACTGACCAACATAAAATTTTCCCCACTTACATGAACCTACGCTGTCTAGTTTAACTGCTTCTCCAGAAGTATGCAAGTTCTCCTACGGCTTAGGAGACACTTACACTGGCAAAACAGTTAGTGGGTATTGCTTTTGAACACGCTCCAAACTCCCTAATTCAAATACAGTCATCAGAACTGCCGAGTCAAAGCTCAAATTGTAATCCCGCATCGCCAATAGCCAGACTTATGTTAGGTATCGGACACAAACCCTAGTGTTATAGCAATAAGCGAAGCGCTTCTAACCAAATAAAATCAGCTATGTGCACAAAAACAGCTGAAGCAAACCTTTTGATTACCCTGGCACTTGCAGAACTCAGCCTATCACTGTCTGTCTATTAATGCTTCTACTCTTTATTCACGCAACTCGCATGTTTTATATCCGTGAAAGAAAGGTTAATATATCGCAGCATGTCTTCTGTCAGTTCTAATGAGGTGGATAGAGAGGATGCAGTGTTTTATTATTTTTTTTAGATCGATAGAAATCCCTTTGAATGCATCTCTATAGAAAAAATGGTTCTTAACCACATATATTGGCATGTTTCTTCTTCATTCGAAGCTGGTTTGCTTACATCTGAGCGGTAAATTTCTCATAGCACTCGACGCGTTAATTCGACAAACTTTACTCATCCACCCATTATGATGGAGAATGGAGACGCACATGTGTCATCTTCGTTGTGTTACAAGTAGCTTCACTTGTTTTCATACACAAAGTAGGATAAACAACGGCTAACGGGAAATTCAGCTAAATATTGGCTGAACCTTTCGTTCACAGTAACCTTTAGCTGAATGTATTGCGGGACAGCAGCCTCATTTGTTGGCTGAAAGGATAACTAAGATATTTTTTTATCCCAAAGTATTTACAGTGCTGCTTAAACTCTTCAGGGACTAGGCCTACCTGGTCAACTCCAAAGGGGAGCGAAACCATTGGTGTGTGTCAGATATCATCCCACCACTTTATAATTAGTGAGTTGTGTCAAGAATATATATTCTGGTGCCACCAATTTGGCGCCACAATAAACATGATGCGAGCTTTAGTTCAGCAAATTCAGCTGAAAAATATCCTAAACTAGAGATGCATATGAGTCTCCCGCCAACGTCAAGGTAATTTTCAAATAATGGTATTATTACAAAAAAGGTAATAGTGCAGGTGTTCACAGCCCAGGATGATTACCCATTCCGAAACAACACTTTCGATCCCTGACCGCGGCTAGTCTATTTTATCTGCTTGCCGAAAACAGCAATTCTCTCGAAGATTTTTCGCTTGTTGTTTTCTGTTTCAGACTCAAAACCGAAACAAAACAATGAACATGAAAGATGCAGTATACAATATCCGCTACAAAACTCAACCTTGCCGGCATTTTGACATGAATGGAGGCCTTTGTCCAGCGGGGGACAAATGCCATTTCGCGCATGGTCCAGAGGAGTTACGAAATCCTCAGTCTCATCCGAAATATCGTACAAAGCTTTGTAGAAACTTTGCCGAGAGCGGTGTTTGTTCGTTTGGGGATAATTGTTTCTTTCTGCATGTAACAAGTTCTCCGGAAACGGGAACTACTTTGCAGAAAGAAAACGGAACTCTACGTTTGTTTTGCAATGACGATGTGTCATGCATGTTAGCACATTTTGCTTCTGATACCTTGGAACCTTCAACTGAACGACGGCCATTCAGAGATATCACCAACAGTCGATTGTCTCAGTAGAAGCCAACAGAATTTGATCGAAATTAAACCGTTTGTCTGGATCCTATGAGACTGTATTCCTTGTTTTATTGTTCAAACTGCATTATCCTACAGTTTGGAACTGACTTGCAGCTTTTCACGGAGCTTCATCTGCTTAAACCTAGCGCAACGATATCCATCCACACTGAAGTAGGATTTTTTTTCTTTTCTGAAACGAAAAAGTGTGGGTACTTCCTGATCAAGCCTGGTTCGAAGCTCATCTAAGTTATATGGTTTTGGGTTTTAAAATCAATTTGTAAGTAGCATGCTGCCCTCAAATATTCTGGTAAGTTCAGCCATCGGTATTCTTGTCCGAAAATGAACACACCCTGGTTATGAGAGATTCCGTCACGTTTCAATCAATGACTTTTCAAAGTGCTGAGGAATTCTACTGGTCAGTATTTTAAAATTATCTCCTTCAGTCGCTAGTGCTTCCCTGTATTTATCGGTGCATTAGCACGAGTTTGGCTTTCGACCTGATTACCAGAATTCCGTTGTTTCCTTGGCGTTTGCTGTCTGTCAAGTTCACACTAGCAGAAATGTGACCCAATCTAAAAAAATCCTTTTAAAATTCTATTTTCTTCTGGTTAAAAGTCACCAGCCCATACGATATTTTACCTTGTTGCTTTCATTGACCGATGAAACCATGAGACTAGATTTTTGGGCTATGTTGTAGATGGACTACTGTGACCAGCGTCGTACTAAAGAAACAGACCGTTGCTACCAACCAACCCGGCTAATCCTGCTTTGAGCTAGACAATAGTTTCATCTATACGTTCAGTCGAATTACTTTTTGAGGTTCATCTAGATCTACTCGATATTTTAAAGCCACCGCTTAGTGTCATAGTTCTTTCGTATTCATCTAGGGTCCCACTGTAACCTTGTGAAGAACGGAAATTTTACTTAAACCTGAAAAAGGTTGGTTAGCTTAGTTCACTGTGCCACAGTAATCTAACTGAGATTTCACTTTACAATGGTAATACGGACTAAGACAACTGTCAGTTAAGAAAGTCTCGTGACAAGGGTCGAATGGCACCTTGGAGGTCAGTATAAAAACTGCAAATTATCCGAAGTAATATCGTGTTGGCTATGAGGAGATCCACTGAAAGATCATTATGAAAGAGATATCCAGCTGGGGTTTAGTTGAACCTCCGGTTAAAACCGTTAAAAATGATTCTGCAAATAAGTACGTCTAATGTGGGTTCAGTTAGAACATTAGGTCGACGGAGATTGTGCCAATCTGACGAGCCCGAAGAAGGGCAAAACCGGACGTAAGCTGTCAGAGGTTTTATCAACCTTATGACTAGCGTGGGTAGATCTTAGATCTTTCGAATATCAGTCGATTTGTATGTCTTTTCACAAGGCACCCTGTGAATGTGAATTCTCGGTTTTAAAGTGTGGAACCATCTAGAGCTTTCTGTGGACCAAAGAGACTTTTACATAGCTCTAAACCTACCTTTAAATTTAAAATACAAACGAACGTTTGTGACAATAAACATGTATTTGCAAATTAATTTGGTGATCAGGAGAAAGTGGCCTGAAATCACTTCGTATAAGTCACTTGTGGTATCGTTTGATTGAATGTACTGCATAAAGACTAGCCAATGAATGTTTACCGCCACACACTCAATCTGGAGTTCAAGTACGACATATGTTTGAAGAAAATTCAAGTCCTAGGCCTACCAGATGAGCTTAACTCTGCCTGAAGCCGCCAATGAGCTGTCCTGAGTTCCCAGAGACCCTATAGTTGATGTTACGTGAAGAAAACTTGCCACATTTTGTCACTTTCCTCATTTCGTCGTAGCATTTGAAATAAAACCCAGTGTCCAACACTTTTCAGCTAACCTCTTTTTCATGAACCAGCACCATTCCAAAGTGAATGCATGTTCTTAAAAGGCTGGTATATTCTGTTCCAGCTATGACGCACCTTGAAACCTATTGACTAGTTTAGCCATAAATGGTGAGTTATGACGAAGGACCATGTGACAAGCATGACAACCATCAAAACTCAACGCTTGCTGATGCACAGAACTCGTCTTGAATTGAAAACTGTGAGCGTCAAAGTCATTAGACATTGAAGTCACAAAAATTAAGTGCGAAGATAGTATTGTCAACCAGTATACATGAACTCTTGCATTCCTAACAAACCGGAGATGTGATGTAACATTGGATCAAGGTTTGCTACCCAGATACACCGAGGCTGTCATTCGAAAATGTTCCATATTGCCTTTTACTCAACTGTATGCGGAGAAATTGCACGAAATCGTCTTTCAGAAATTAGGAGCAGATGATGAAGTTTGTGATTTTTCTAAATAGTTGCTCTTAGTTGTGCGTCTATCTAGGCGTTCTAGAAGCTGCTAATTTCTTGTCATAGAAATATCGCAGCCCAAATGTCGCTTAGCGGCTCGTTTTTATGTTCCGGCTAGTTAAGTAGGCATATGTGGAGGCCATGGTCGATGCTCATGTAGCCAACTCCGCCCTATCTCCCGTTTGATATTCCACTTCTGCTGATTACAATACAACCATTCGTTTGTTGTCGCCATCTAGACCATTAAAATACAGCTTCTTACACTTAATGTATGTCGAGCTGTAGTTTATCATGATGAATTTCCTGCGTGGACCATTCGAACCTGCTTTCATCTATCTTCACCATCATCATGGCTATCTTTGTCTGCAGAGTCTTATCGATGTAAATCGTATGACCGTTTATACACTGTTCAGTCATTCAACTAAATGTCACGCGACGGAAGCGGAAGGGATATGTCACCGGACTTATCATGCTACACGTGATCAACTATCTAGTCACGACTGCTATGGCTGTGCATTGATTAGTGAGGATGTCCCAGGCAAATTTCTTATTCGGATTATTGTGATCCGTAAAATTGTGAGACTGTGAAGTTGAGATACATGAGTCATTTCGGCAAACAAAGACCTAGTCAACACAAAAGTGCCATTGTACCGGAAAATTTCACCCTTCAGCGCATCACTCGGCTCCCTGTCTAGTTTCATTTCCTCAACAATCGACGAGAAACTATGACATTCCACCCTCAGTTACATAAAAACATAGGCATCGGAAAAGCATGAAAATTCCATTATAGGATATTAGAAAGTGAGCTGTAGAGAGCAAGACCTGCTTTCTGTGACTGATCATTTGGCTAACAAATCGCATTTTGTATGACAGGTAGCAAGAGTGTCTAACGCAGCATCCACAAACGGGCACAGGTGATCAGAAATTAGTGTGCTAGAAGAGCCAGGTCAATACCAGAAACGCAATAGGAGGGACCTACTGCGGTTCATCACCAGTTCAAAGTTAGCGCGAAAAACTTCCAAGTGCAGAAGTCAGGAATTCGCAATTCGATCCTGACTTCCTCAGCAGGAGCTTTACAGATTGTGATCAAATGATGAGAACTTGGTAGATGATACGAAGGCTCGATCACTACCCATTTTTTGAACGGTCTCGGTTAGGTGCAACCCATTGGCGTCTGAGTTGGATCCGCGATCTAAACGAGCCGTTGACCAGGTGCAGTGCTCACAGATAAACAACTCATTGTCACCAACATACGATGTTCTAAACGAGCATGCGGAAGAGTACACAAAAAACTGGTGCAGCTGGTAGCAACCTGTTCCCCAGATGCGACGTAATTATGGAGGAGGAACGGAAGCTCGAACAAACTATAGTCGCCATGAACGTTGACGTTACAAAATACTTTAGTCTCCTAGAGACCAGTCCAGTGGTTGTTCCCTCCCACATTTCTCGATGACTGTCACAAACCCACTTCCTATCTACCTAGTGAATTGTCTGAATTACTCACACACTCCGGCTTCTCTTAATACGAACACACAAAAAGCTAATACATTCATCAATTTCCTGTTCCGTGCACGAGCTGTTATACACTGTCACAATCTATTCAGCAGGCTAGTCCTAAAGTACTATAGTGCTTGACAAAAGCTGGACAGACTGATGTGAGTGCATTGACCCAACTCTCTATCGCTGCTCTTCGAGGACCTTCGCGACTTCGGTGCCGTTAAAAAAATCGTATTGCTCCCATCCATACTGCGCACACCACCAGATAGTGGCTCAAGTTAAAATAACTTCATTTGTTCTCTTCCGTATTTAGGTTTATCTGCAGCTACTTCATTCCCCCACGGAACAGCTGATTGTGGGATAGTTGTGAAAGCAGCCTATCCAAGTCAACTTCTTGACACCATAACTTTCTCCTGCACAGCTCCGAGCTTAGCTTATCCGTGTGAATGACTCAAATATGCATGTACTACTATACTATGGTGTCGAGAGCCGGTGGCACACAGCTACTTAATATCGTCCCCTATCGACGAGAAAATTAATCGAATGGCCAAACTCGGCTCAGACATTGTTACATTGAGCGCGGTGCAGTATATAATATGGGACATATAATATGGACATAGCGTCGTAAAAAATCCTTGAAACTGGTTTCCTATGGCAACCGAAACGTCGGGTTACTTCACTGCGATGTGTTCTGTCCTAAAATTTCCCACAGTACACACCAGCTCTCTCAGGGAATTAGTTTGGCGTGTGATAAGTGTCTCCCAGCTACCAGCGTTGAAACCGGAAAGCGAATGAACAGCGAGTTGCTTTATCTTAGTACACCACTGAACAGAACGGCTCGAAATGAGTGCATGCAAGATGTCGCCTGGTTGCAATACACACTTCCTGGATGGACATCACCCGGTGGAAAATTAAGAATACCTCCAATGTCTAATTTACACAAACCGATCACAAAACGCGCCAGTTACCGAGCCGACGAGACGTGATTTGGTGGGACCGAAGTGCTCAGCATGTGTGCATGTATGGTGAATGCTTCAGTATGACAGTTGTCTGTGTTCCGTACACCAATGCTCAAATACAAATAGGCTGGTCTTACTGCGTTGGTGATAGTCTAAACATGACTGCAAAGATCGGGACACTTGTGTGCGGTTTAGTCCCACACTCTCAAATGGCAAGTTGCACATACCCTAGGACTTTCGCCCTGACCCTTAAATACACCTACAGTTGCACCTGTGCACACACCATTTCATATGTTATTATTTGGCTCAGCCAGTCGGCCACCAAAGTCCTGGCGCGAACACCTGATAACAACTACGTAAGTGGTGTTCGACCGGTGAAGCTTCTTCATATTCTTCTCGAAATACGGGATCGTACTAGCACAGTAGCAGCCTGAATTCCTTCCTTCACAAGTTCCCATGCAACATTAGGCAAAAAACAATTACTTTGCAGCTCAATGACCTCCAAAAGAGAAGTTTGTTTCCCATGGAGATTTTTATGATGAACATAAAAAGGGTGAAAAAATGCCCTACAGATGTGGGACATCTTTTATTTGGGCACTTACTCTGCTGACACGTGGCCCGGACGATAGACAGATACTATCCTGATACTACCTTGACCTGCCCCTCCAATGTCATCTGATCAGACAAAGATTCTCAGAGTTTCGTAGGTCGGTTCATGTGCATGGGAAATCGAGCCACTTCTGGGACTCGGCTGGGTGAGCGTAGATGGTTAAGACACTTAACTGCTTTGTTATCCGTTATAGGCGTGAACTGACAGTAGCATGCGCTCACTGATAAACCTTGAGCAACTCGTGAATTGGAGTTAGATGTGACCATTCATTTAACTAGTTAGTGGTGAAACCTAAGCGCCCTGCAGTTCAGTTTTCTAGGCTGAGGTGTGACTAAAGAGGAGCTTACGTATGATGACGGCCGACATCATTCAGAAACCCGAGAGATGCTTCTGGGTATATGATGCTCCAACATCGTCCCTGATTCAACATTAAGATTCCTTTTAAGAAGACCGTGTAAATGTCAGGATGCGCCCAGAAATGAAAAGTACATGTGCAGAGAACGACGAACCCCTAAGGTGACCATCGGTCACCAAGTATTCCACGTTACGAGAATAAATGTGGAACCAAGTGAGTCTAGTCTGTTCCAACAGTGATTATAGTGCATCCCCGTGAAGCACAAGCTGGTGGCTTTTCTGCGCTAGCAACCACCACAGTTTTCAGCACAGTTTGCCAAACAACCTTCCTGTTGCAACCATCTCTTACAACCCGTTTGAAATGCAAATGCACTATCGGTACAAACGCCTCCAGGTTTTTAACTCATCCTTCCCTCCTCATTGTTGGGTAAATTTTGCTCAATTTTACTATCTCTCAGCCACGTCATACCTAATTTTATCAGGTTGAATGTAGTTCATCCATACAGCCCAGAATATATGTACTTTGGGCTTCGTCAAAACTTCTTATGTCTTTCTGAGCCCGATTCAACGAGCCCTGAGTGCCTGCGTAGATTGCAGAAGACGATATAGCAAACCTGTGACATGAAAGGCCAAGTAACAGCTTTTTCGGCTTTCTCACCACAATGTGAGATTAGAGGGTTTTCCTAATGGACTACGATCCTAGCCTTCGGACCACAGGTTGGGTCTCAATTTTTGAGTCACGTTCCATTCACTTTCTTAGTGGTTCACGATTCGTGCAAAAATTGTCGCATTCCAGGGTCTTCCTGTTGCCTTTAACTTCATTAGCTTCGATCACCTTTGGTGCCTCCCGAATTGAAGTGCAACTTATGTTTCTAATGAGTTGGCAAAATGAGTATGTCTGCATCCTCAGAAAGCTGACATGTCAGCGTGACATTAGCAATGAAGAGCCTCGGTCTAAGTGCACAAGCACGTTCCGGTTACCTAAAGCTGTAGGGATTCGGCACATGCGAATTCCTTGTGAACATAACGCTCTTCTTCTATCAAGTTAACAACATGAAATGTGTTTCGTAGACCAATCAGCCTATACTGCACAACATCTAGTCTGCAGACCTACGCTTCCTGTCATTCCATAATCCACCTGATGACCAGTTAAAGGAAGCCAGACATCTGAGCTAAATTCCCTTAATTGTTGGTACAGTCAGCTTTGTTTACGTTCCTTGATTAGGGAACTTGAAAACCATACAGTCCAACAATAGAAATTAGTTACCTCCGTGAAGTCAGCACGAGGGATCAGAATGAAAATGTTTTCTTAATTCGGCAATGGTGAGTAGCACCAATTAGCCAGTTCAGCTTATCCTCCGTGTCCAACGGCAATAAAGTCAGCCCTGGAGGATATCCGACTTTTTTGTAGGTGTCCATAAATATACCAAAAAAAATTCTCAATTTACGAGCTACCCCATTCCGAAAAGCAAATGACTACGAATGTTAACAGCTTTATACCTACTGAACCGAATGCTACTAACCAAATACTGTCGAGTAGCTTGCGGGTGTCAGTATGAGAAAAACAAGAGCCTGGGATGGCGATTGTTCCAGGTCTGAAATCTGGGTGACCTGGGCTTGCATCGTCCTCGATATCACGAAACAACGGGGCGGTAAGATTTTTTAGCCTCAACCTCCTGGCTAATGTCGGTAATCGTTGTCGATGGCTTTTACAATCAAGTAACAACGCGCAACTATAACAGCGATACACTAAGTTTATCGTGTATCATGATCGATTTGAATGTGTCCCTACCTCTTAGTTCTGGTGCGAATGAGAAAGACAGTGTGTATTTGTGTGCTTGTGCATTGGTTGCTCTGCCTCGTGGGCTTTGGTGCTGTCGACGAGCAGGTCTGTAAGTGAGAGCTGTGTCAGAGCTGTGCTCTGAGGTCACGCATGGAAAATTAACCACACTCCCACGAATAACTGAAAAACCGATTTATTCACTTTCCACCTCTGTACCCCAAAGAACATGACTGTGTGACTGGGCTGCATGCACAGGAGCAGTATTATCTTCTCGAGTTTGCAAGTCTATACAATCTGGTTTCAGGTCATATCCACACGGTTTGTGTCCCGAATGCTAGAAATTAACATGTATCGGACAGCGGATATGGGGTTCATCTTTCTTCCATCTGAACTGGTCTTACAACACACCTATGTAAGTACAGTAGCCGGATGTGCGGCAGGGTAGAGCTGTCACACAGTATAGAACTCTATTGACGCGTTCTGTCCATCACCCTGTGTGATTTCGTCTGCCACGATTCGTTCTCCCCCACCCTATCAACACGATCCGATGTAAGAGTGTGGGAGTATCTGTTGTCCTATCGGCGTGCAATTTCCTGTGCAAACCAACCGCTTCCCTTGAGTAAGAAGACATGGGTTCCAAGTCCATTTTTTTTGGGAAATATGAATCGAGTGGCAGACTTGCAGCGAGTTCCGTTGAGCATATCGGGTATTTGGCACATTAAAGCTGTCAAACAGCATGGGTGACCTTGTAGACTGGTTTCAATGTTCCTAACATGAGATAACGGCCAAGATCGCATCAGAAGCACTGAGAAATAGGATCTCGTGTTATGGCGTGTATAAATTTGCGTACGGCATTCTCTTGATATTCGACAAAACCAGTTCGGTCAGAGGGGATGCCAACCAGCTTTCAGTGCCAACAGTTTGAACGGTTTTTACTGACTTACAACCACCAGGTAGATCCGATTCACGGTGGGCTGAAGCTTTATCGAAGCGAGCGAAAATCAGGCAAGCCGGATGAGAGGGAACCGTAGCTCATGAGCAGTTTTCCTGTATTCAGAATTCGTAAATACATTCAGGGTTTTTCCATTAGTTTACGGCTACTGTCGGCATTTTCAGATGAGATTTCGTCCTATGCTAAAAACTAAAGAGCCACTGTACAGCTGTTTCATCCTTATTGGGAATCATCAGCAGTGCGCATCCCGGAAAACTTTGAGTTTCGAACCCCCGACCTCCCGGTAAGTAGTCTGGACACTCAATAGTTTGGTTACGAGCGGCTAAACAGAAATCAGGGAAGGTATAACTCCACTTCCCCTTTAACCACGGAATCCACATTAAGAGGACATGGAGGAGGTCGTGGATTCGAAACTCCATCGGGTGCCGTGAGCTACTTATTACTGATGATGCCCAATAAGGACGGAACAACTGTACGCTAGTTCTCGGCCTTTGAGCGTAAACAGACTCAATGACAAGAAGAAATTTTTCTCGAAAATTCCCAAGTCTCCCTACACTAAATACAACTAGCGATACCATCTTGATAAAAAAAACGAGTTGAATATTTCACCAGCGTCTTTGCCTCCCTGTCCAACCAGTTGAACATAGCGTCTGCTTCTATGATAACGGCGACCGGTTAACTCACATTATGTACACATCTCAACAGATCATCCTGCGTCAGCATTGTCCTGAATTGATCGGCATAGCTCGACATTTAGAAGACTAAAGTAGCGTTTGAATACTCCCGCGTTTCTGGCTGGTCAGCGCAGGAGAAAACAACCTCTATCTCGTCTTTCCTCCAGGAGTTCAATCTTTTCAACGGACGGACGATAATTTGACCAGCCAGCTAGCTGTTATTCAGGAATCATCTGAAGCGAACCACTTATTTTTAGAGTGCAAGTACGCCGAAGCTTTACAGAGAGTGTGGGTTCAAATTTCATGTCTCTTGATGGTAACCTCTGGCATCCATACCCGGTTGATTTGCACCACATCGATTTAACTACGCAAACTCAGTAGCATACAAGATTACGATGGTACTTTAATGTGGTACTATAATTTCAAGCTACCATGATTAGGAAGATGCTTCGATAAATGGGCTATATGCCGACCACCAAAATCGCCAATATTTGGTCATCAGAATAACAACTTTTTCAAAGCCAGTCATCACGCCATCAAGCGGCAAAGTTCGACCGTCCGTCATTTCGCTCTGAGCTGCCGTCATTAGGATTTCGCTAATTTCTGAATATTTGTTCAATAACTGACAGACGAAGCAAAATAACGCCTCTCGGCTCCTTTCGACATTCCCACAATAGTTGGAGCTATATGTCTTGGTTTGTGGCATCGTTTTAAATGCTGTGACATCCTTGCATGCTAACCTCGGATTCTCTCGGTTCACATGTTCACAGTGTGGGAAAGGCTTCATAGTTATTGAACCAGTCTAGACTTTTGTGCTTAAGACTGCCGATTTTGCTGTCATCATGAGCTGTATGCTTGCCAGCACTTTGAGGTAACAATGAGTAAGGCAAACATAGTATCGTAGATGAATTTCCTATTATTCCTTGCTGGCCAAGATACTACAGCGTACTGGTGGGTTCAGATCGTGTAATTTTTGAGCCTTTAAGGGATATTTTCTTCTCTGTCTTCGGTGTTGAAACACTAATGCGAACCAGTGTGCACCTTTGTCGGTCCATTGGCTCTACGGGACAACATCAGACAGCGCACAATACGTTTTCTTGCTGACAGACGTGGATTTTATCCAAGTCCACCGTTCATTCATGGTATGGAAACAAATGTGAAGGTTTTATCGAATTAAACTTATGGAGGCGCAGAAGCTGAAGAGGTGCAAACTGATCAAATACTTTTTATTTACAAAGTTCCAGTGATGTTATCTCGCGTGCTTCTATGGTCTACAGTTCAGCACTATTCAATTCGGACAGTTTCTTTTTCTATAGAATGCGGTGTTGAGTTTGACATATTGATAATTGGAAATAACCTTATATGGTGTTTGAGGTCAAGAGATTTTCTCAATCACTTTGATTAGCTAGCGGATTTCAGCCGCATTTCAATCCATTTGGGTACTTGCTGGGACGCAGCCAAACCTCGTTCACCAAGTGTTTGTGCAAGGCCCAAAGTCAAGGCCACTTGATGCCGGTAGGGACATTTTTCTACAGATCGCGATCGAAGTATATTCTAATGTGTTATTTCGTTTTCATAGCCCTCTCGATGTTCAGCAAAGAATAGCTTACCTAAGCAGTACCTTTTCCATAGAGTTTGTCGTTTTCTTCTAGGATTCACGTCCACAGTACGTCCTGGTTGATCCTACTTTGTGATTGTGGGAGAAGGGTGTCGGGATTAAGCTATTATTGGTGATGAATCTCTTCTACCATAGGATGAGTGTTTCAACATTCAAACAGGTGATGGAATGAAGCAAAAGAATGACGTCAATCTGAAACACAGCTACAGAACAGAATTATGCAAAAAACGTCGATGAACGATGCAGTGGAGCCCAGTGCGAACAGATTGGTGGGTGTGGTCTTGATAAGCGTAAGATGGGACGACTGGACAGGTCGACAAATGTCACCATTTTGGTCTGGAGTTCAGGTGTTACTCGTCTATCTTGGATCAATCTGGGTATCCCAGAATGTCTCAGTTATTTTAAAGAACTCTTGATGGGGGCGGCAAAAGATAAAGATTGCGACCTAATGGCAATTTCCAGTGGGAAACGAGAGAGCAGCTTATGTGAGGCAGCATCTAAAAACTGAACGCAAGCTTTAGCTAAGATCAACCGAGGTTTCTGTTTAACAGCTCAAACGGTTTAATAGGATTGCCGGATCACCGGGTATTGAAGTTTTCACCACAATTCATTTATCATGAAAATTATCTGCACTAGCTACGACTAGGATTTTCTCGTTTGACAAACGCAAGATATACTGAGGTTAGACCATTGTCAGACGCTTTCTGAAATAGGAACATGGTCCGACTCTAACAGAGTTGTGTGTCTACCTATATCCCCACTTTACTTGAGAAAAAGGCCTCATTATTATGATTCCCCAAACACCAAACGAATTAGCTTAGACCAGTGAGGTGGAGGGACTCCTAGTGCAACGATGTATACTACTGGTGAGGCACGCAAGTAGTCTGTGGTTTTTTTCGAACCTCTACCCCGCGTCTAATGGAAGGCGAAGTTTGTTACGGAACTTGTGGAACTGCCTTGCAGTGTTCTCTTACAACTGCGTGCTAGTTGATGAATATCCATTAAAGTTCAAGAAGACACTTGAGAATGTTCAGTTTTTAGAAACTATGTACATATTGGACGTTTACTTCCCTGCCCAACAATTTGTAACTGCTCATTTGGTGTTTGCTAATAGATCTCGCGGCGAAGGGCTCTCCTCCTTATACTAGCAAGTATATAGGGACTCATTAGATTCATCAGTTTCTACTTTTGAAAATCCCCAGTATCATTCGCTGATAGAAAATAGCCCTATTCTTGACTGTGGAACGGATGTTCGTGGGCAAATCACGCTGGTTCTGTATATCACAAGAATCTGTTAGAGTCCAATACTAATTAAACCAGAACCTACGGGTTCAAGTAACATCAAGGAAATAATTGATCAGTGGGCTTAAAAAAGTCCCACTGTCTATTGTTGGCCACGTTGGAGTGAAGTGAAGTGGGGAATAGTCAACCCACGAAAATGTGATCTTTTGTGCGCGTCAGCTTCTAGTGGTCCTACAATGGAAGAAGGAAGTGTGGTGACACAGTACTTTCCAACCTCAACCGTACCGGATCAGGAACGGCACTAAGATATTTTAACTGGTGGCAAGTTCATCCTGACTACTCTAAAGTCGTTATGTTGAACTTAGGAGGGGTAAACCCACTAGTCAACTGCACTTCCGATAAACTGCATACTTAGAGGACCACTAGGTGGTCGCAGTAATAAGCCGAACTCCTAATGATGGGGTCACTAGTGATGACCCAACCAGTCTAATGTGCATCGACTTACATGAAGGTGCCCCTAAATTAACTGTCACACTTTACTAGAATGTTATTTCGAAACGTTATTTCGGCCTCAGCACCCTCATACCACGTGGAACTGTCTACTCTGGTGCATCGGTTGCCTTGAGTGCGTCAAACAGTCCGTGAAGTTATGGTTTGAACATGCACTGTCCACATTCACTCCATTTCCTGTTGACTCAAGCCAAAACCTCTATGAATGTAACACTATCATGAAAATAATTTGTTTCAACGATAATCACAATGCGGTATCCTGACTGCGTCATCAAACTATGTGCTGACCCCAATGCAAGCACATACGCCCACACGGGCTTTGTCATACACATGTTTTGTGTACAAAAATGAGGTCATATGACCTGGGAGCGCACTAAGGTCACTTTGATTTAGGAATGTTAGTATCAGCATCAGTAGACCGCTGATGAAACAACGAACGATTGAGCAACTGTGTATTTGGCAATTGTAACAAGTGATGGTAGTCTAAATAAGACTAAATAAGTGAAAGGACTCGGTGAGACCTTTCACAGGGTTACCTCAGCAAATCACACGTAACCACTCGAAATTCAGTCGACATCTGGTTACGCTTGATTGGGCTGCAATAGAGAAACTAATCATTGATGAAAGTTTTCTTTGAGGTGCTTTTTATTTATTCGCACCTTTCTCAGTGTGATGATTACTGCTTTATTGGTTTGACACTGACAATACACGCAGATTACAACAGATATAAATTAAGTCTGCTGCAGCAAATATTCCACTGTCATTGGACTAAGAGTGCAGGAAAGTTCTAGTTCAAGGAGTAACTCATCACGCCACTCATGAGTTGGCTACCACAGCTCTACCGACCAGCTGCTTCTAGTTCAACTTGTTTCGACTGCACCTATTCAAGGACCAGACGGGTGGACTGGACTAAACATCCCATCCAAATGCCCCGGTCTTTATTCTGGGGGCTGATATTTCATTATTAGAAGGATAATTATTTAAAATGACAAACGACAATGGAAACACATTTACATTCATGCATTCTAGCAGTTCGAATGAGATTAGAATGCTTGCTCAGTGCCAATTCTTTGTCCCTCACGGGTCCACACGTCACGTCAACATGGGTGTACACTGACCCCCTGTTCTCGTGTGAGTCTCCGGTGTCTTTCAGTCTGAGAAGGAGAAATTTGAATCTCATCTACAGGATAAGGACCACTCAGTAGGCACGGTTTCGAATTTGAGCGACTGATTTTCCAGCTCTTTCAGCATAAGCTTAAGTGGAATGGTTTTGGACCACATAATAAACCAAAAGTTGTTCTTGAATTGGATCTGTGTCCAAAGATGGCTCATGAACTATCTCCTTCACTCACTTTTGTACTCCGTTTATTATTGAACAGACGGTGTTCTTCTTGGAAGCATGCGCTCGCTGAGGGTTCTTTTATCGTTCTACCCAAAACTATCGGAGCCAGGGTTTGACGTTTTATTTTTAGGTTGCCCTTTATTTTGGGTTATCATCTTTGGGCGAGTTGGTGGCAAACGGAAGCAGTATAGGCAGAGAGTACACTAAATCTGGAGACCTCAAAATATTACTTAGATAACCTTACTTAGATAACAATAAATTCAACCACTAGTTTCATTTATTCAGCTCACAAACCATGCACCGATATTCAGTGGCTCCAGCTGTTACGGCATCGCTCTCTGACGTTAAGAAGTGTAGTGGAATGAGAGTCAGGCGTTGGAGACAATATATATATATATATATATATATATATTTGTTTTTCCAG